CTTTAGTATAGCGTGACTTCTCTCTCTCTCTCTCTCTCTCTCTCTCTCTCTCTCTTTCTCTCCCTTTCGGACTAGGGGCTCTTTGATATTCAAGTAAATCGTACCTGCGTCGAAAGCGGAGACAAAAGCGAGCAAATAAACGATCCTTAGCGCCCCGTCGCAGAAATCATTCGTTAAAGTGCGCCGCAAGAAATTCGACGAAATCGCAGCGGTAATATCGATGATGGTGAATTCGAGTCTCGTCAAACGCAGATGAATAAATGGCTTCTTGAGGTGACACGAAAGAAGAGGGAAGGAGAATAACGAAGGGAAGAAGAAAAAAGAACGCCGAGGGGTAAAAATGGGAGGAAGGGCCGCGGAGAAGGGAGGACGGAGGGGGAGGGGGAGCGAGAGAAATGTGGAGTTCGCGAGAGAAATATTTTCTCGTCTCTGCCGAAAGCATCGCGAGACACGAACGATTACCCGGATTTTCGGTGTAAATGCGGAATACGAGCATCGATCATCTCGTGAGAACGTAATAATTTAAATGGTCGAATGAGCGCCGAGCGACAGTCGCATTTTTTATCTCTTGTCAGAGGATACGACTCTAAGCACGATCCTCTTTTCCATTTTCGGGACATCTGTCTGCTCCGCGTTTTCAAGGGAAACGACGCTGCAAAATCGGCATAATTTAAATGGCATGTTTGAGCGGATTGTACGTCGATTAATATCTCGTCGAGATGTTATATTTTGAAGTATTCGATTACATAATTCTCTCTGAGACAATGATTTTACTAAGAATATATCGTCTGTTGTTTAATTTGTTATGATTACTAGATTTAGAATTGCATGGTACAGTAAGAAATTATATCATTTTGTGTTAAGCAAATCAATCAAGGATCAAATATTCACGCAAATATATATACGCAAAATGTAATATGTGATATTAATAATTGACCTTTTTGAATGGGAAAATCTCCGGCAAGCTTCTTTCGTCTAGATTTTTAATTTTACTTGCATTAGTAAAGATTCTATATGGCAATGGGTGAGAGAACGAGAAAGAGAGAGGGGGGAAGAGGGGGAGGGCGAAAGAACCGGAAGAAAGTCAAAAAAAAGAAGAGGCCGAAAAGTAAGAGAGGGGGATGGAGTACGGTATGAAAATATAAGATAGGACGTAAAGACTACAAATTCTGGCGCTTTTGTTCTTTTGCCTCGTTCTCCTTTCGCTCTCGCGTACGAGAAAATTCACAGGCTTAATGGTCTCGTTTATTATTTCTTATACCTCGGCCGTGAGGGTCCTCTCTGTGAGGGTCCGGCCAAAAAATCAGCCACTTTCCACCCTCTCTTCTCGTTTCTTCAGCTTTCAATCTCTCGAATGTTTCTCTCTTCCTCTTTTATCTCTCTTTCTGATGTATATCGAAAAATGCGTCTCACAGTTCATACGTCGAAGTATTTTATGTGTCCCAGCTTCCCCGATGTATCAACATTTTTCTTTCGAACGATTAATCATAAACTCGTACTCGAGTACGAGATCGCGGAGTGTATGGTTGTTTAAGAGCTTCTTTTGAGGAAATAAAAATTGAGCTACGGGCGAAAGAACGGAGAATTGGACGGAAGTAAGAAACGGAAAACGAGATAGCGAGGGGCAGTAACGGAAGAGAGTGCAACAATTTTCCGGACTGCTTGACACCCCTTGCGGATAACGCGAGCGAGAAATTTTCTGTGCAATTACAGATTTTTGCTTCATTTATTTAACTAGATACACGTGACACTTCTACGTTTTAAATAGCACGTGTAAATACCAAGGGGGGAGGGGGGGGTCACAGAAATTATCAATCTTTTTCGAATTAGTCATTGTACTTTAATTTTTAAACTTTGAACCGCGGAGTATCAAATGTTTGCTATATTTATACAAAATACGTTACGCGAAAAATGTATATTTGTTTTAATTGATAATCTAGGATCTAATCTTAATTACAAAATTAATTTTTAAAGTGTTATAAAAATAGAATGTCGTTTTTTTACGACATTTTTTTGTCGTATTATGTCAGTATTAATTATATCACCTTGAATTTTGAATTTAAAAAAAGCACATGCAACTACGATATGTATGCATAAATTAAATAAAAGAGAATCGGGCGGAAGAAAGTGCAAAAAAAGAGCGTAAAGCGAAAGCGAAAGGAGGAAAGTCCGGCAGATATTCCGGGCGGCTCTGGGGGCGATTCTAGGAGTAACATAAAAGGAATCGAGCGAGCTTGGGAGGCGCAATGGACGCTAAAATATGATGCTCTCACATCGTG